CAAAATCTTATGGTTGTGAATTTTTCCCTTTTTTTTTTTTAATGATGTTGGGTTAATAATTATTTATTAAGTTTGAACATTTTATTTTGAAAAAAACCATTAATAATTCATTTATTATATGGATTTATTTAAGTTTATTTCTTCTCCTTTAAAAGTCTCTCGCGAGCTTTTAATTGCAAGACTTAATAATATAAAATTTTAACAATTATATAAGATATTAAGTCTATTAAATAACGTGACAGCATTTCATTAAATGAAACATAAAACATTTCCAATGCTCCAAAATTAAATTATTATTTTACATCCTGTATATTCATATTTATATACACACACCAAAAACGGTTCATTGACTATAGGGATAAGTGTGGAGTTTGTATCTAGAAAACCGTACCCATGGTCTTATTTTTTCTTTTTCTTGACAGACTTTGAAGTGTCTTGAATGTTTTGATCATTGAGAATGCAGGTTGAAGGTTCTACCTAGCTAGACAAAGTTAAACTAGCAAATTATGCTATTGAAGCTGTAAGCCAGTTTCACCTTGTTGATCTCACATCTTATTAGGTACTACAAAATCTCCTTCATTTTGCTCTACGAATTTATAATTCTTGTGCCCCTTTTAGATTTTTCTCTTCCATTGGGCCAAATTAACTTGGCATTTGAATTTGATCAAAGTATATAATTCTCATATTCTTTTGGCTTTGAGTGTAAACTTAATCAAAATGAAATCTTTTTTTCATTGTGAAGCTATGAAGGACGAAAATGGGATATCCTTCTTTTACAACGGAGATGAATCAAGAACCGAAGACAATGACCAAAAGAATAAGCAGGCAATCATTGATAGCAATGACGAAAAGAATAAGAGGGTAATGATTGAAAAAGACCATGTTGCTCTGCGTGTCAAGATTGATAGAGCCAAAGACCTTGAAGATCCAAGACATTACCCATTTTTTTTCTTCACCCAATACAATGTGGTGTATTGGGTTGACCCTGAAGACCAGGTTTGCACGAAGCCCGGTGACAGTCATGACCCTATATGGAAAGAGAGTGATGTGTTGTATCTAAATAATATTGATGATCAGTTCCTGCATGTGGAGGTTCAGAGGTTCATCCCCCAGCCGATTGATCCAGAAACCTCAAGTCGTAAAGTTGTGGTGGGGAGGGCAAGGATCCCAATTCCCGAGGAATTCAACAAAGAGGTAAGAGGGATCTATGCCCTTGTGAAGGATGAAGGTGGAATCTGCAGGCCTCAAGGTTGTATTATCCTTTCTATGAGACTTGAAATGACTGATATTGACCCTGCCCTCATTCGTTATACCCAACTCTTGCGGAACAATCAGTTCTAGGCAACATGTTAAAATTTAGACAACTCTTGAGTCTGGATAGCTAAAGATAGTTATGACTCATGACTTGTGATTTCCTTTCTTTTTTATGTTCTTAACTCTTTTCTAGTATTATGTTATATTTGTCTTCTTTACATGGTTGAGTACTTAAGTAGTCACTTGGGTTGTACTGTTATAAATTATGTGATATGTTTGGTTATGTTACTTCCATCGAGGATAAAATATTGGGTTATAATAATAGAAACAACATGTTCAAATTTATGGTTGAATGGCTCCTAATTGTGTAGGCTTCTATGACAATAAATTTCCTCTGGAGGAGTAAGAGATTATGGTTCGGTTGGATTTTTATTTTATTTTTTATTATAGATCAATATATGATATTATTTAGTCAGAAAATATGGGGAAAAACTGATTCATTAGTGATGTTCACAATGATAGTGATCAAACTTCCATAAAGTTGTTACCCCTGTTTTGCTTTAACATAAACCAAGTTCATGTCGATGAAGATTGGCATGGTTGAACCTTCCGCTCATGCTAGTTATAGCCTAGGTTAAATTCTTAGCTTTCGAGTGTGCTATCACTTATCAATGTCTCAAATTGCCTATGCACATTTGGAGTGTGAATAACTTTGCTCTTATTGACCCGTAATCAAAATGAAAACTAATTTTCATTTTGGATTACTTGATTTGAAATTTTGTTATCCTACTATGTATATTCCTAATAAGTCTGGGGGGATTAATAATAATAATAAAGTTATTTGAAAGCCGATTGAACCAACAATTATTGGTCCAAGTTGTAAGTAATTTTTTTTTTTCATGGTAATTAGAGGTCTCGAGTTCGAGCTCTGAAAATAAAAAAAATAATCTAAGAAGAGCTACCTTTATAATGGGTTCGATAGTGCTCGAACCGAACTAATTGGGTAATCAATAAGTCGATGAATATATCAAGAAAATGGTTGACTTTAATAATTTTCTTTGAAAAAAGACTAAATAAATCTAATCCAACCAAGTTAATAATTATATAATATATTTTTTAATATTAAATTTATACCTTTACCTACTGGAATTTCAACTTCTCATTCTATGCGTCACTACATAGGTTTTTAATATATATATTTTTTAATTAGAATATTTCTACAAACATTGTTTTGAAATTAACCGGTCATCGAAGTTCTTCCAATATTCGTAGGTTTGTCAAATGTGTCATTTGTATTTTTATATTCAAATTTGAAATTGATTTGAAAACCAAGTAGATATTCCTCGATATTTTTGTCAAAAAAAGAGAGAGGAAAAATACAAAAAAAAAAAAAAACCCTGTGATTTCTATTAGAATCACTTATTCCTTTATAATTTTTTTTTATCATTTATCCCCTATGATTTTTTTTCATCCGTCTATGTTCTAACACTATTAATTTTTTTTAAACTATCAATTTTTCCCATATAAAAAGATGATGTAATGATTTTTCTATCCAACTTCACAATAAATTATATATTGTTAATTTATTATAATACTTAGGCAAATAATCAAACATATATTACATGTTAAAATCCTTAACCCCATCAGAATATGTAAAATTTAGCTTAAATTAAATTTTTTATTTTAACTCAATTAACTCCTCATTTATTTAAATTTTTCAGATTTTTTCTGTTTTATTGGTGGTCAATATGTTTATCATCTGTGTGTATTTGCTCATATCTTTGAACATAATATTGGTGTACATCAATAGATCAACCTACTCTTTAATATATTAATATTTTTCCAACATTAATTATTTTCTCTATTACCAATCTCTGGCTCATATTTTTTCATTTTGATTTTTATACTCAGAATAAAAATATATTTACATAAAAATTGATTACTTAAATAATCTTTGATTTTACTTATTAAATTTAAGATATTAATTTATTTATTAAAGTCATGTCAAGTCATTATATATATATATATATATATATATATATATAAGAAAAATAATAGTTATAAGTTAAGCATTCATTCTTATTAACAATGTTGTGAATATTATCAAGATCGAAATAAGTTACTAACTTGTTAAGCATGTCAAGCTTTTACCAATCTCTAGCTCACATTTTTTCATTTTAATTTTTACCCAGAATAAAAAAATATTTACATACAAATTAATTACTTAAATTTTATTTATTAAATTTAAGATATCAATACATTTATCAAACTAATGTCAAGTCAGTGTTATTAATGATATATAAATTCATAAGACGAAAAATAATAGTTCTAAGTTAAGCATTCATTATTGCTAACAATGATGTGAATATTATCTTATTAGTATATCGAAATTAGTTACTAACTTGTAACTTTCATTTTAATTTTTCTCTCAACTTGTTAGGATGACATTTTGTGTGTGACAATTTGGTATAAATTTTAGAAAACAATCAGAGTTGGATAAAAAATATAATATTGCAATAGAAAATTCTACTCTCTATAATGATTCTTTTTATGAGGGTAAAATGAACAGTTTAATTTAATTTTTAACAGGTTGATTGGATAGAAAAATTTATAAATAGGTAAATGATAAAAAAAATAACCATAAAGGATAAGTGATTGTAAGAAAAATGAAAGAGGAATTTTTGAACTTTTCAAAAAGAAAAAACGATCTAATATAATTTATGAACACCTCCGCTCCTAATCATAATGTTGATAAAAATGATATTTTAAGAAGAACAATTGTGTTTTTTTTTTCTCTTTGTATTTATTTATTTTTAAATGAGATATCAGGTATGTATGCAGCAAAGTTTTTTTTAAAATGAATTCAGTTTCAAAATGATTTTTTTTATGTTGCGAAATAAATTTATTTTTAAAATGAGTAAGTAAGAAGATATTTATAATTACCTTTAATAGGTTAAATTTATGATATATTCTTAAATTAAATCAGTAATAAATAAATTCTTATATAATAATTACTTTCAATGACGTATTTATCATCTTTAGGTAAATCTTTTTTGTTTAATTTCCTTTCGCGCTGACAATAGACTACCTTAGCTTTTTTGTTGTTGTTGATATTTTTACTATTAAGCAAGAATAAAATAGGATAACGAAATTATTAGGATTCGTCTGAGAAGGGGTTCGGATAATTAAATGTAGGGAATTACTTTTTTTTATGTTGAGAAGTATTATCTCTTATATTTATATTTTTTAAATGGGTTTTATAATAAGTTTTTTGTTCTTATCTTCAACTTTTTTCATTCTCATATTTATTGTTTGAGTAGGGAATAATATTTTTTTTTTTTTTTGTAAATAATGATTAATGAGATTTAAATAGTTTAAAGAGAAAACGAACTTTTCTTACAGGTATTATATAAAGTTCTGCTATTTTTTTTAAATAGATGGGCCTAATATATTGAACACTTTTCGTATTGATAAATAAAACATTTTGTGATGGAACAAAAGAGAAATACTTTTCTTGAAGGAAAAAAATTACTTTTTGTTGCAGAGATAAAATTATAAGTGAGACTCACAAATAAAAGGAGAGAAAAAAAAAAAGTGATAAGATCCCATACATTTGTGTGTGTAAGAAAATTGTTATAACTCGAGATAAAATAGTTTTTTCTCAAGAAATAAATTTATTTATTAAAGAGACTCATATTTTTTTGTAGAGATAAATCCATAGTATATTAGACCAAATTCCTCTATATGCTCCTTTTCTTAACGAACAGAGTTTTGTGAGAACACACACACATACACACACACAAGAGAAGAATCCCAAATCCCAAATCCCAATGGCAACATCGCGTCCTCCTCCGTCTAAATCCGTGGATCTGGACCTCACCATCGTCTCCGCCAAGCATCTCAAGAACGTTAACTGGAAAAACGGCGATCTCAAACCCTACGTCGTTTTCTGGGTCGACCCGGACCGTCGCCTCGCCACCAAATCCGACGACTCCGGCTCCACCTCCCCCGTCTGGAACGAACGCTTCGCCGTACCCCTCACTCTCCCACTCCACGACTCCTTCCTCACCCTCGAGATCTTCCATTCCAAACCCTCCGATACCCCAAAACCCCTTGTCGCCACCCTCCGCCTCCCCCTCAAAGATCTCCACGACCTCAACGATTCGACCCGGATCCGAAAATTCTCCCTCACCCGACCCTCCGGTCGCCCTCAGGGCAAGATCCACCTTAAGCTCGGCCTCCTCGGTCGTCCTCCAACCCTCGATTACGTCACCCTTAACCCCAACCCCAACCCTAACCCTAACCCCAATCCCAATTCTAACCCTAACCCTACCTTCCTCTGCTACAGAGGATACTCTGCTTCACCTTCTCCACCACCTTCACCCTACCCTTCATACACCTCCTACCCTGATTCCTACTCCGGTTACTATCCTGGTTACTATTCCGGTGCTCCTCCCCCGCCTCCGCCGTCACGTCCCTTCTTTGACCGTCCCTTAGGTTATGCTGGGCCTAGTGGGCCTTCCGCCCCGCTTGATTATTCGTCCTCTTACGATCCCAAGCCCAAGGGTAATAAAATGGGCCTGGGCGCTGGGCTTGCTGTTGGTGCTGTCGCTGGTACTCTTGGCGGGCTTGCTCTGGATGAGGGGCTGAAATATGAAGAGGACAAAATCTCTGAGAGGGTTGAGAATGAGAACGACGTCGCTTCTGCACGGGATGATTACAGCCATTACAGAGTAGACTATTGAGTTTTATTAGCTTCTGGGTGTTGGCAAGGTTTGCACTTTGAAGGCTAATTATAAATATATAATGTATGTGTATGTGTATATATATATATATATTTCAACTTCTTGTTGGATTGAATGCTTCTATGTTGCTTTATTAAAAGTTTATCTTGTGATGATTTCATACTCTGTTCATGCGGCTCTTTATATTAATTGAATTGATATCGTTTCTCTTTAATAGAGTATTATGGTATGTTACTTGCTTGAGATGCATGCTCTTTGTTGTGTGCTACAATGATTTTGCTCAGAACTTTTCATTAGTGATTGGGCTGCGTAATACGGAATCAGTTTGAAGTTACTGTTGGTACAGGTCTTAGGATGGTGGAAATTGCTTGCTTTTTTTTCTTTTTTTTATGGATCTTCATCATTTGTTGTCTGATTCTTGCTCTTTTGGCTTTATGCCTGATGGATATGCTTGCAAAGAAAGGACAAATAAATGGTACAGCAATTAACATGGTTGTGTTGCATTTTACGTCAATTAACCTAGCGAAGCAACATGGCATCATTTCCTATCGTGTGGCGTGTTGATGAATTTGTAGTTTTTCAGATGATAACCTGATATGCATTTTTAATCTCCTCGAGGTCATCTGGAACCTTATAGGTGCTGATCAAATCATATTACAATTATTTCCAGCTGGAGAAAAAGTGGCAATTTTCAATTTTTTGACGTTCATTACTTGAATTCATTGGTAAATGAGCTTAGCTTATGGAAACATAGAGTAAAATAATTAAAAATGAAATATAAATGTATGCAGTTGTTCCAAGTTGATTGGTATATGATAAGGTCATGACTTTTAACAATTTACTCTGTCTTATTTCACAAAAGCACCTATTTCTTCCTTTTTCCTTTTAATTTTCTGCACTTTCTCCAACACAGTATACATAATACAATGCTTCGGTGGTTCTTAGATTAAAAAGAAAACGTTTCTTTGTTGGTTCTATACTTCTATTACAACATTTTAGGTTCGTTTTTCTCGAGAGCTTTTTTTCTTTTTTCTTTGTCTTTTTTTTTACCAGTTTTCTCTGCATATAGGAAACAATAGCATTGTTTACTTTTAAAGGCTCATGTGCAGATCAAACTTGACAACAGAAACCTAATAAAACTTGAGCTTTATGGCATATTGTGTTTCACTGGATGACTGAGACTGAAAAGTTGGGTTAGATAAGCAAATTATCCAACTACAAAGTACTTTTGTGTCGTGTCATTGGATCTATCATTAGGACGATGTTGTGGTTGTCGAAATGTATATGTTTTGATTTTAATGGTGGATGTGATATTGTGTTTTTGGAGTTTCAGGAAAATGACTATATATATTGGGAAATAATTTTCTTATATTGTAGAAAAATTGTTATCTCAGAAACAAAATTACAAGTGGGATCCGTAGGTAAGAGGAGAGAGAATAAAAAGAGGTGGGATCATAGTTATCAAATGCGGATTCCGGCATGTCGCGGCCAACCCTGAAAAATACTATAGTATTATAGTGGGTTGCGGTTGCGGAATAGATATATGACAGAAATAATGATAAAAAGAAACATTTTTTAAAGGCAAAGATAGTAGAAGTGACATAGAAAGACGCGGATAGACTAAAAAACCCTTCAATTTTTTCTGTTGCACATTTAAATTTAGGACAATATTGACATTTTGACTTATGATAGCAAATGTGATCCCAATGGTTGCTATTGCGTTCTAGTGTGGCGCGGCGCGGTTTCTTGCGGCGAGGCACCGCAATGCCCATACGTCGCGGCTCGCGGCGCTATTGCGGCGCAATTAACTACTATGGGTGGGATCCATCCCTCTTTTGTGTGTAGGAAAATTATTTATCTCATGCAAAATGAGATAAGTATAATTCATATATATTTAGGGAAAATCAACCTGCACACACAAATCAGATATGGGACCCATTTTATGATTTTTCTCTCCTCTCTCTATTTGTGTGTGCAGTTGTTTTTTTCTCCGTGAGAGTCGATTTGCTACCTCACTCTAATGGCTTGAAACTTGCTTAAGCACAGCAGAATGTTCTATATCAATGGTAGTTTGTTCCTTTTTTTTTTTTTTTGGTTCAACTGATTGGAAAATAATCTATTTTGGCTTTAGTGCGGATGTAATACACTTTATTATTCTATAAAGAAAACAGCAGCAGGTAAAACCACTTCCCATCCCCCTTCTCGATCTCGAACCAAAATAAAACGAAGATTTGGTGTTCCCATGATCTCAAGCAAATAGAGCGAAACAGCTTGTAGACCACTGGTTCAAAAATTGAACTGATTCAAAGCTCGACTTCTAATTGAAAAGTTATGTTGAGCATTTTTAATCAAGGGAAAAGTGTTCTATCACGGGAGATTATCTCGTTCTGGGATTTATGGGAAAAAATGCTGGGTGTTTTGAGAAATTCACATTGCAAGGGAGAAGCAAAATTCCTAAAAATATTAACAGAATAAACACCAAAGCCTTTAACTACTTGTGTGATATAGAAAATGTATTTAATTTATTATTAAAATTTGGAATTTTGTGGAAGGGGAAGGTCCAAAGCTATGTTGCACTGATACGAGACACGGGATATGACATGACATTCTGACACGTTAATTCTAAAAAATATTAAATTTTGACACGTTAGGACACTTTTTTGATATTATATAATATTTTTAATTTATGTAGTGTGTATTATATTTAGTATTCAATAATTTAAAAATAAAATAAAGTTAAACTTATAATATTCATTAATTTTGCAGAGAAACATAATATATCGCAAATGTTTATATTAAACTCAATAAAATCATAATCGTAATCTAACGAATTTAATAGTTAGAACTCAAAATGCAACGCAACGTAACTTTTGAATCTTTGCAACGAGTATTGAAGTGTCGGAAAGTGTCGGACACGACACGACAAAATTTTTGAAGTGTCGGTGCTTCATATGTCCAAAGTAACCTGAGCGACAAAGCAATAAACGCTTTGCTGGTGTTTAGGTAAAATTTTGACTTTGCAAAAATCAATTTTGAGGTGAGTATAATTAGTTGAGAAGTAATCTTTTGAAATTTTAGAATAGTAGAATTGATTCTAGGTGGGATAAGCATTAAAATGTAAAAAATATATTTATATTTACAGTTTAAAAATTTATTTCATCATCTAAATAATTTTTTTAAAAAAATTACTTTTTCAACAAATTAAAATTTTAATGTTAATTGAAATTAAGTTTCCAAAATCTAAAGCAAACAGATACTTAGGCAATATCAATGTTTGGTTGAACCAAGATGTCCTTTGCTTCCTTCTTCCTTAGCTTTCAGACATAGGATTTAAATCGTTTGCCAGTAGGTAGTACGTAGGGAAAGGATAAATCTTTGAATACTATAATCCATTGATGTTGAGATACATCGATCATGATTCATGACATCAATATGGTTTGCAGCATTAAGGTACATAAAATGCCTGTTTATGTTTTCTGCTCTGCCTTCGCATAGCAAACACTTCTTGAAAGTAAATGACCAGAAGTGGCTTTCTGCCAGATCTTGGTGCATGATTGGGAAAGATTAATTTTCCTACATAATAGCATTCTTCTTGTTAGAAAAGCCGTTTTGAGTATTATGTGGGATGTTTGGGAGGAATGGACAAAACTGATTATTCATTGAAAAAAAAAAACTTTTTTTTAATAGTATTTGTTTAAATTGAAAAAAAACAAAAGCATTCTGTTTATAAGCAATAGCTGATTATTTTGAAATTTTGACATTTTTACCGAATTAACCACAAATTTATATATCTAGATCAATCATTTCATACCTTGTTGCAATTTATTATGCAAAAGCTATTTTTTCTTTGTTTTTAAAGACAATCTAAGCAAAACAATCTATCTTAAAACTACATTTTATTTAACATATTCAAATACGAAATTAATTTTATCATAATCGATTCTAAATTGATTATCATGAATTACTTTTTAGTCTACTGTAAAAAGTATATATTTGATAACAATTTATTTTTAAACTCAAAAAGAGAGAGAGAGTATTTCATAAATAATATTTTTAAAAAATAGTGTGTATATAATTTTGATAACATATTCTATGATGACTGTATTTAGTATATAGTATGGTTTACCAAAAAAAAAAACATAGTATGTCAGGGTTAATTCCCAACCAAAAATAAAGTAAAAAATATTTTTGGGATCGATGTCAATTTATACTACCCTAAAAAACTATGGAATAGAGGTAATATAGGGAAATATCTACGGTGCAGCGGTTGTATAGTAGACTCCGGAGCCATAAACTGTGTTATCAGTACGGAGAATTTTTTTTTTTTTTTAATCCACTTGTCATTTTTTCAATCGCAGATGCATGTACGACTGCAGTGTAGAAAATGATCTCGTCTTTACCAAAAAAAGAAAAAGAAAATGATCTCGTAATCTAGATATAAACTTGGTTGTAGAAACGGACTGGTCTAACCAATGTGGGCTAGGTTATTGCCCCATTTCATTTAATAGCTAATCAGGATTGGGTCAAACTTTCAAGCCCATATGGTTCGGACCAAGACCAGGTTAACCTTTTAGCCACAAGGCCCAACCAAGATATATTTTGCTTTTCATAAAACACCCAAGCCCCAAGCATTGAAAATTTGAAATGCTGCTTGATTCTTTTTAGGGGGTGTTTGGTAGGAGGTTTTTTTTAGGATGACTGAAAAAGTTGAGATGATTTTTCTAGTTGACCATGTTTGACAGGAGATTTTAAAAAATTTGTAATTTGCCTAGCAATCTCAGTCTGTGTAAAATTGAAATTTTTTGTCATTTCAGAATATCACCGGAGGATGGTATTCTCATTACCCCATCAACTAGGAAAAAAAGCAAATGATACAAATATCTCTTATCAAAAAATGTGCCAAGAGAAAGCTGGAGAGAGAGTCTTCTTTGTATTTAGTCAAGGGTTAATATGATAATTTCATCTCATTTTCTCATCAATATTTTACCTTCAACCAAATATAGACTTAAGAAATTTAACCCAATTTTTTTTAACTTTTTTACCAAATTCATTTTCCCATCATATTTCTAGTAATTGTATTTCTCTAATAATAAATATTTTCTCCTCTATCCTAATAAATGAATAAATCAAAAGGGTCACAGGCCCCAAATGTTAGCACTTTATAGAGCAACGATTTCCTTGAGAGCTCAGT